GTTGGAGTCGCTGGGCTTCTCAAGTAATTTATCCCGTTCATTCGACACAGAGGCATCGGGGGGCAGCTGTAGTGCTATCGAATGTTGAGGCGGAAGAGCAATAGGTCCAACAGGCGATAGCGAGGGAGAAGGGCGAGCAGATAAAGGAGCCGAAGTCTCAGGAAAGGTCTGTGGTTGATTGTGTTGATGCTGCTGAGGCTGATTGAGGGAAAGTTCTTGAAACGGAGGCAACTTTATGGCAGCTGTGCTCATCGGTGCAGCTACGGTAGTGCTGGTAGTGGTGGTGGTGGTGCTACCCTCGGTGGATGTGGTTTGCAATGACTGCAACGCAGGAGGATGGTGATGCTGCCGAGCTAGATGACGAGCGAGAGTGGTCGGCCCAAGAGTGAGCAGTAACGCATGTCGGCGGCGCTGGGGAAAGGCATGCTGCAGCAGACGACGTATACTTGCAATTTGACCGACAGATGGGTGGGTAGCCAGAGGCTGGAGGAAAGCGGAGGCTGGGACACGGTTGTACACGAAAACCAAGGAAGCGGAGTAGTCTATTAGATCTGCAATAGCCAATAAGACAAAGAGACATAGACCCTGCTTATGAACGAAAAAAGATATAAAATAAGGGTGAGTGAGAGTAAGTGATATAAGATGTAAGGAAAATGATATGAAAAGAAGAGACAAGAGGTAAAATAATTATTCCTTCATTTTATAAGGAAGCCTTTTGCAATGATACATTGATGTACGTTTCATTTCATTTAAAAAGACAGGTTGAAGGGTTTCGCAAACTTGCCTCACCGAAAGCCAAATGATTGGTTTGTTGTTGTGACTGCTGGATTATGTGAAAGCCTCCGCTAGACGTCCTGCCACCCCGACGAATCAGTGCTGATCCTTCACCTGTATAGTTTATTGTTCGGATATTGTAAATGTTGGTTTATTACTTTGATAATCTCTCACATGACAGGCGAGAGTTCAGAACTGATTCATTGGGACCGGATGACAGCAGGCCGAGGTCGTCTTCGCACAGTCACAACTCCAAGATAATTCTCCTTTAGTTGCCGATAGGGCCAATTTGCAAAGCCCTTCCACCTCTCTTTTCAAACGAAATGAGAGATAAGCCAACAGTGTTCTTCGAAACCAAGCTTCTCTTCAATTTTTTTTGTAATTCTGCCCACTACTATATGAATAAAAATTAGGTTCGCTCTAAGCAATCCTTAAAACATCCAAAACCTACGAGTCTACAAGATAGTTAGTTAGTCAAAATTAAGTAGTTTATTGGCAAAGCCATTTGCTTATGTTTTCTTCCATGAATTGCCTCGCCGGGTTGAAGATGCATTTAATTTGCCTTTTAATGCCAGATAGAATATACGCACAATTTGATAACTTAAAAATAAGGCCTACGTCATCTTGGTCTTTATATCTCCGAGTTAACTATGGAATTAAGTTTACCTAATAATGCATTGAATATAGCCAGGCAAGGAGGACAATCCTAAATAATTTGTGATATCTGACCTTTTTGAATCGTTGCAAGCGTAATGGTATCGTTCCTGGCTTCTGCAACTTAATAAAGTACCGCTCGGACAACGTTAGTGAAATATTTACCCGTCTCCATTCATAAATTACAGGAAACCTCAGAATGAAAGAAGTAAACTATTTCACAACTTGGTCATATTGGTAGGAAGACTTATAGGAACACACCTTGTCCTGAGTTCAAAGAGACAAGTCTCTTTGACGAGTTGTAATATGGTGCTACGAATAGTAAAGCTCACTGACGATGCCGGCGAAACGTCTAGAAATGTACCACGTCAATGGTCCGACTTTGGAAATAATTATGCATACAATGGACTCAGGACAAGGTGCATTTCTATAAGTCTTCTTACCATTATGACTAAGTTGCGAAAACATGGTCAAACAACTTCTATACAACGAAAGGAGACTGCGAGCACACAAAAGGCCACACTATCTTGGTCTTTATATCTTCGATTAAACTATTTCAGTTCACTGGTATTAAGCACGAGCTCAGGCAGGATCTAAACAGGATTCTTATTCCATAAGATTTTAAAAAATTCCATTAAATGACCGACTATAAGTCACAATGAACCATTATATGATACCCACGAGACATGATACGAAAGGCGTACAGGTGTGTAGATGCATAGCTGACTGCGCCAGCCCAAACGCCACGATAGTAAAGTATTCGCTACTATCCTATGATTCATCTTTTGATAACAAATTTCTACAGAAAATTTTAATCAGCCTGGATATTCTATTGTTGTGCTTACTTCCATTTCGAGTGAAAGTGTTTGCTGAATAGATTCGAAGGTAGATTCCACCAGAAGACGTCGGCGGATTCCTCTTGACCAGCTGTCGATTAGCTTTACTGGAACAATTATGCTGACGCTGTTTCCGAGGGAATTGCCTTGGATTCCGGTGAAAAGGTGCTAAGCTTTCGTCCGTCATATGACGAGCATAATCCGAGCAAGTTATCATGGCCACAACCAAATTCAAGCTAATTTTTAGTGAATGGAATCGCTTAACGTTTGTGTATGCAGAGGAGAAATTGAGAAGTGGAAAATGAATTCACTTCTTCCGAGTGATGCTAGGGCACCTTCGGCTTACGGTCTTCAAAAATAAACAAGTAGTTCCGTTAAGATTCATTTATAATAACAAGCGTAATATGAAGCATAAGATTTCACGTTTATTATGTAGACAACTAAGGAAATTGACTAACTATTGGAAATATCAGGAGAATAATTCGTGTAAATTTGCTAGATTAATAGATCAACAGAGTATTAAAGAGGAGCAGCTTTTTGTTAGTCTTGATGTGGTATCAATGTATACTAAAAGCCTAGTTCCTAAAGCTATTAAAGCAATAACACTCAGCCTAGATAAGCACCCAGGAATTATTGGGGAGGCAAATCTGAGCAAAAGCTCAATCTTAAGGCTTCTTAATCTATCCATGAGCAGCACT